TGGAAACTAAGAATGGGGTGGGTTTAATAATTTGTCCAAGAGCAAGTAGAAAAGAAAAGGGACAGATTCTGAACTCTAACCCAGATCTCAAAGGCTCTTTTCACTCTATCAAAGCTGAAGCATCACAGAACTAATGGATAACATCATAAACCATGAATTAAGAATAAGTAGATTCCAGGAGTGAAGACACCAAACATGACATCACACAATAAACCCAATGCAAATTAACATCAGATTCAAACCTCAGGGCATCCTCAGCTCTTTGATGTGCCTTTAAAACTCAGCTCCCACAAAGCCTAAACACATATGAACAATTGTCCCATACCTCTATCCCTCCCCAGTGGAGTCCTGAACTTCCTAGGATCAATTCCGTACTCTAGATATGCATGGATATCCCACAAAAACGTATTTATAAAATTTAGAGTTTGTTAAAGATGATGAGAAAAGTATGATGCCCAATATCTACCTCACTCTATATAGAGCCCTTTGTTAAACAGTTTTTTTAATTTAGCTAAAGTTTATTGTTTGTGCTGCCTGCCCCCGACTTGAGAAATTCATAAAACTGTACATGTAATGTACAACCCAACTAAATAAAGTATACCAGCTGAACTCAAATGTACCCAATACATTAAAGAGACAAGTTCTACCTAGAAAATTATTTCATTAACTCACAGTGCATTTCAAACAGAAAAAAGTATTTTAACATCCTTTACCTCAAGTATTTTATCTCCAGTTTTCAGAGCCTTTGTTTTTCCTGCTGGGCTGTCTTCTAAGACTTGTTTGATAAAAATACCTTTAAGCTCCTCTCCATTCTTCAGGCGTTTTATTACAGTTTGTCCACCAACAATACTTATTCCAAGAGATACACTGGGCTCTCTAAAAATCTCAACACTGTAAAAAAGAAGAAAAAAAATTCATTCACAATTTGTTAGAAAGTCACTACAAATATTCAATTTGTACTATGTTCTTGTAATTCTTGTTTTAGATAAATACATTTTGCAAATACATCTGGAAAAAGAAAGTCATATAAATCATACCAATTTCCAAAACTACACATCAATAATTCATAACATATATGAAAGTTTAAATTCTGAAATATCTCAGTCAATAAAGAGAACTCTTAATATTCAGAGAAGATTTAGCTAGGCTTTAATGTTACCCATCTCCTACCACAATATATTTTCTGTGATTAGTCTGTAACATTAGCAAAAAATGGACTGAGAAAATAAATGGAGAGGAAAAAAAAATTTAAGAATGCCACATACATCAATTTGGCAAAAACCATAGAATTTCAGAATAAAAACTTTATCTGTTCCAAGGCTAGATACTTTTCTTTTATTCCTATCTTCAAGTCACTCTTTAAAAAAAACAAATGTACAGAATGAAACTTGTCCTTCAAAATACCATAGATTCTTGTCAAATTGGGAGTCCCCGGACAGTGTGGATGGTTAAATACCCCACTACTAGCTTTAAGGTTGGTGGTTCAAACCTGCCTCAAAGGACAGGCCTGGCCATCTGCTTCCAGATGGTCACAGCCTTGAAAACCAAAAGGAGCAGTTCTACTCTGCACTCATGGGGTTGTCATGACTTAATGACAACGGGTTTGTTTGTGTGGTTTTTGGTAACAGCTGCTCATATTGCACAGTACAGTCAATAATTAACTCAAACAAACCAAAAAAGTCCCCTGAAGCCTTCTTAAAACCAAACAATAGTTTAGCTTAACTAGTGGAAAAAAAAAAATCTGTCTTGATCATGGGATCAAATTGGTAACACCACCTTAGAAGATGAGATAGAAACCTTAGGTAGCAGTGAATTTATGTTAATGGGATGGAATAACTCAGAAAAAGAGGGTGAGAATGTTTGTACAACTTGAAGAGTGTAATCAATGGTACCTAATTGGACATGTAGAAACTGTTGAATTCGTATAAAAGTTTTCTTTTAACAAAGAAAAATAACTAAAGAAACAGCTCCTTAAGAGTTTTTAAGACAAAATTCAGAATTTAACTCCAAAAAGCCAGGTTGGGGGGTACGAAGGTAGTGGAATTAATAATGCATAAAGAATAGACAGAGTAGGTGGCAGGAAGACATGTATAATCTTAATGCAGCACAGCCCTGCTGGGTCCTTAAAACTATGACAATAACCAAGGGAAGACTGGCCCCAACATTCTGTTAGCTGAAACAAGGCACCAACTTAGACTAATACAATGGGAGAAAGGTAGAGATAAACTAATATGAAATAACCTTAACTATTGTTGATTTTGTTTTAAAATAAAAAAGCTTTACCACTTTCAAATCAGCCCTACTTGCTTATTGATGTAGTAATAAACTATGCTTAGTACATTAGTTACTAGTGTTATGTGGTCATTTGTAAATTGCTTACAAACTGATTATTCTCTGAAAGAGTATGATAAAGATTTTCCTAATATTGGTTATGGTTTTAGCCAGGACAAAAAAAAAAAAAACTCTAAATAAAACAAAATGATACTAAAATGTAAGCCAGCCTGTATGTGATCTGTCACACCTCTTCAATCACTAGAATATAACTGACAGATACTCTATTAAGTAAAAGAAAAGATTAGCTAATCATGTCCTCTAATTGAGAAAGCCAGTAATGTCATCAACATACATTCTTGGTGGACCCCAGTGGCTGAAATTTGGAGTTTCTTCTCCTTCACCTTCTTCTCTCTCAGGTAAGTCACTGAGGAGAAAGAAAGAAAGAAAAAAAACAACCCATAAGTGACATTCTTAGTATTAAAGTTTCTGGAGAGTACAACCTATACATGGTTAAATAGTTCTCAGTCTAAGCAGTTTTGTTATTTACATCGATAAATACGCAGTTATCTATCCATATAAAGCAAAAATATATTTCTGTAATGTATAACTCAACAAATACCCACTCAGTAGCAGAAAATTATAGAATTATTGTGAATATTTTTATTGGTGACAGTCTAAGTGCTATTTCCTACAAATCTGTCTTTGATTTGTATAATTTTACATTTGTTTCTCTAGTAATATTGTCATTAAAATTTGGTACTGATTGACCACCAAAGAGAATAGTCCAGTATAAGCCAACATAAACAGGTGAAATGACTACAATCAGTAATTATGAGCTATCTTCCTAGATTTTTCTGTCACTTTTACCCCCAAATAATTCACCTGTCACTTGTATCCCATAAATATTTTGTGTAATTATACAAGCACTTTTCAAGCTTAGAGAGCTTTCACTTATAGTATTCAATCCTCACTCCCCACCGCATTTTTATTCATCAAGTTATATTAGTATGAAAATGTTTAAGTGTATAACATAATATGCTACATTACAGAGAAGTTAGTTGTAAGAGTGTTGTTATATAATAGGGTATAAAACTGAAAAACAAAACTCACTGCCCTCGCGTTAACTCTGACTCATAGAGAAGCCTCTTTGGGTTTCTGACGCATTATCACTATGGAAGTAGATTCCCAAATCTTCCTTCCGAGGAGTGGCTGGTGGGTTTGAACCTCCAGCCTTCTGGTTAGCTGTCAAGTGCCTGTAACACTACACCACCAGAGCTCCTATAACAGGGTATAGACTTTAACACAAATTACCTGGAATAGGAGTCAGGTGTATTAAACTCAAGTCTAACTTACACTATGAAATGGGTATGTGACTTTAGACCATCAAATAATATAATGTGTCTGATATTATAAATTGTATCACTCTATGTAAAAAGTATAGGCACTATCTCTTCCATTTCATCTTCACAAGAATCCTGTGAAGCACAGCAAGTCATACTATAACTTTTACATATGAAGAGCTCCATATTTTCTGAATCTTTAAATACCAAACCAAAAACCATGGCCATCAAGTCAATTCTGAATCATAGCAACCCCCTTTGGGTTTCTGAAGTAGTAAATCCTTATGGAAATAGATTTTCCAATTCTCCTTCTGAGGAGTGGCTGGTAGGTTTGAACCACCAGCCTTCTGATTAGCAGTCAAATGCCTTAGGCACTATGCCACCAGAGTTCCTTGAATTTTCAAATAAGTACTGTAAAAAGTGGCAAAACCCCATAACTTGCTACTTTACATACTTCTAGGATATACTGGTTTTAAAGCCATAGAAAAAGGAAAAAAACAAAAGGATCTAGACATTTCAAAAATCAAGAAATTAGGAAAATTAGGGATCATTAACAATTCACACACTACCAGATGGCTTTCTTATCTCAATCAGTCTAATTTTTATGATTAAAAGCATCATCACAGCATTTATGGAAAAACAATTTGGCATACCCTTACTGGTTATTTATCTAATATCTGATCTCTTCTTTTTCCTTAACAATATAACTCCTTTTTTATTCAAGGTGGCACTTTGTTGAGCTTTAAAAAAGGGGGGGAGGAGGGGCTTTCTGCATTTCCTTTTGACTAAGGGTAACTGTCACTATATGCCACAGTTCTGATCAGTGATATGGAAGCAAAAGTCCCGGAATGAAGTGTCCCAGAAAACACATTAAATGGAGGGAGATTCAGCTGACACAAATCTTTTCTCTATGCCATCTCCCTTTTTATTCACTGTAAAGTCTAAGTGACATTGGTGGGGAAGGCATCATAAATTCATGACAAAAGTAAGGTAAGTAAGATAGGAAAGTTAAGTAAAGGCAGCTGAGCAGAAGGTGTCAAGGACCCTGATGACAGCAACACAATACCTCCCAAGACAACCTCTTCCTCAAGATTTTTTACATGAAAAAATTAAGTCACTACTTGGTTATGCCACATGAAATGGGCTTCCTATTTATTCTTGTTGTTGTTATGTGCCATCAAGTTGGACCTGACTCACAGCGACCCCTCCTTGGGTTTCCAAGGCAGTATCACTACGGAAGTAGATTGCCCAACCTTCCTTCCAAGGAGTGGCTGGTGAGTTTGAACCAGCAGCCTTCTGGTTAGCAGTCAAGTGCCTTAGGAGCTGAATAAAACCCTGAAATGATACACCCATGATTCCACCCACTTAAGTGAATGCTCTTCGCTTTAAAGGTGCTCTGGTGGTGTAGTGCCTAAGGCATTTGACTGCTAACCAGAAGGCTGGCAGTTCAAACCCACCAGCCACTCCTCAGAAGGAAGACTGGGCAATCTACTTCTATAGAGATACCACCTCAGAAACCAAAGGAAGGGTCATTATGAGTCACATCTGACTTGACAGCAGTGAGTTTTTTTTTTTTAGTTTAGTTTTTCCTATCATATTACTGTTCTTTGTACATGTGCATATATATGTCCATTGAATAGTTGTGAATCGCAGCACAGCCTTTCACATTTTGATTATTCTATGCAATGGTAACAAGGATTAAATAGGTATGGCTGGCATTTAACTGAGGCTGAATTTATACTCATTTCCTTTACAATTTCTCTCACTTCAAATTATATCAATATTTTTCCACAAATCATCAGTCTTCATTACAGGTAGTCCCCAGCTCACCATGGATTCAAGTTATGATGAAATGCAATTATGATCATCTGTTTTGTTTTTTGAGTTAGTACACTTTATCATTAGTAATATGTATGTATATAGCAATATGTAGCTGAAAATCTATATGTAATGTTTCTCAGTACAAATGACAAAGAACAGATTTATAAAGATAATAAGACTATAAAAAGGAAAACAAAAAAAGAGGTATTTGACTTATTTCAGAATTACCTTACAACAGAGTTGTTGAAACAGAACCCTGTCATAAGTCGAAGACTACCTAAATTTTTTATTTACGAGAATAAATATTAATAGACCATATTACTGATGTAATTTAATTTATCTGCTATCTGATATATGTAGCATGTAGATTACATTTTCCTTTCTGCAATATTGACATTCCTGCAAGGAATATCTTCATGTACTACTGTTATTTAAAGTCTCCTTTAAATAAAAAATAATCCAAGCAAGACTGGAAATTAGAAATGAAACAAACACTGAAACATTTCCGCCTCTCCATTTTCTACTTTCCTGCATATTGAACTGTGACAGACATTGAGGAGAAAAATATGTCTTTCTTTTTATTATGGAAAATTTATACTTTTTACATGAAAACATTAGGACTTAAATTCAATAATAAAAAAGAATAAACAAAATAAACTAAACAAAAAACAAAATTAACGTTGTTGTTGTTGTTATGTGCCGTCGAGTCGGCCCCGACTCATAGCGACCCCTCCTTGGGTTTCCGCGGCAGTATCACTACAGAAGTAGGATTACCCAACCTTCCTTCCGAGGAGTGGCTGGTGGGTTTGAACCGCCAGCCTTCTAGTTAGCAGTCAAGTGCTTTAGCCACTATGCTCCCATGGGCTATTTTTCAATAATTAAAAAAATAAAAACTAATAATTTCCTAAGCTGGTAATTCTTTCATACAATTTAAGAAAAAATAAATGAGCACTGTGCAGAAAATAGAAAAAGAGTCCTGGGTGGTACAAATGATTACACACTCTATTACTAAACAAACACCTCTTCAGAGGTGTCTTGGAAGAAAGGACTGGCAATCTGCTTCTGAAAAGTCACAGCCTTGAAAACCCAATAGAATGCAGTTCTACTCTGCAACACATGGAGTCGTCTTGAGATGGAACTGATTTGACAGCAAATGGTTTGGGTTTTTTGGTTAGCATATTGAAAACTTTGGTTTTCTTTGATAACATGTTTAACAAAGGTTTATTCTCTTTGAAGAAACTCACTGACTTTCTCATGTTGTTGTGTTGTTGTTGTTATGTGCCGTCGAGTCATACCTGACTCATAGTGACCCCTCCTTGGGTTTCCGAGGCAGTATCACTACGGAAGTAGGATTGCCCAACCTTCCTTCCGATGACTTTCTCATAGCATATTATATATTTCTTCATGGTTGTAGATCCATATTTTATTCACACTGTTTCATAACCAAAGATATACAAAACTTGCTAAGATTTATCCAGATAGTGTGACTACTTTTGGAAATACAGTCACAGCTCATAAGTATCTATACAAACTAATGTAGTCACTTTATATTGATGAATTCATATACCTTTTTAAAAACTCATTGCCATTGTGTCCATTCCAAATAATAATTACCATATGCCTTTTAACCCAAATTAAAATTTAACTGAGAAAGTAAAATACTATTTATTATATATAAAAAAACTCACTGCCTTCGAGTCGAACCCGACTCATAGCAACCCCTCCCCTTTGGTTTCTGAGGCAATATCACTATGCAAGTAGATTGCCCAGTCTTCCTTCCCAGGAGTGGCTGGTGGGTTCTAACCACCAGCCTTCCGGTTATCAGTCAAATGCCTTAGGCACTATGCCACCAGAGTGCCTATTTATTGTATATATTAAGATATAAATTTGTATAAATGTATTGGAAACTTTAACAAGGGTTTTCTAGAATCAAATTTTATAATTTGCGGTCTAAACTTTTACAGTAATCAAACACAGCTTGTAACGTAATCAGTTGTTGTTGTTGTTGTTATGTGCCGTTGAGTCAGACCTGACCCATAGTGACCCCTCCTTGGGTTTTCAGGGCAGTATCACTACGGAAGTAGATTGCCCCATCTTCCTTCCGTGGAGTGGCTGGTGGGTTTGAACCGCCGGCCTTCTGGTTAGCAGTCAAGTGCTGTAGCTACTACGCTACCAGAGCTCCCAATGTAATCAGTAAGAATCTCAAATCTTAAAGTAACTAGATTTTTTTCTGTTACATTTGACCAGAATTTTAAAATCAATT